CTCCCCCCCCCCCCCCCCCCCCCCCCCCCCCATATTTACGTGGAGAAAGTACTAATGACTTAAACCAAATTTTTTTAAATGCCATTCATTTAGCCAGAAGCCAAGGTGATGCAGGAAAATGAGACCCTGCCTGCATAAAAACAGATAACCCCAAAGAGGAAATCTGCTGCAGGTAAGTTATTTTTTAATTATATATATCCTGATTTAGACAAAATGGGCATCTGTATAGTATGGGCCATATTAATCATCTTAATATAAGTTCGTATTAAGAACTCTTGACTGGAGATATCAAGCTAATGATCCCTACACTGCAAGAATAGATAGAAGAAGCAGAAAATAAGAGAAACTGAAAACTAGGGTTTGGGGGTTTTTTAATTTACATTTTTATCATGTCAACAATGAACAGAGGTAATGTAAAACCTAGCAATTAAGGCAGAGGCTTAGAAATAAGCCTTCCTCAATCCCCTTCAAGATTAGCCACTATATGTTGGACAAGTCACTTCCCATGTGCATGCTTTGAAGTCATTTGAAGAATGGGAATTCTCCTTAAATTGGTGAAGGAGTGTGATTTATTCTTCGTATACAGATATGACATCTCAGATGGAAGATGGTACCGATGCGCATAGAATTAGTATAACTTTCACGCAAATTTAGAGTTACTTTTAGAAAGCATCATTTCCCAGCTGTGACAGCCCTGAGGCCATGTCACTCTGAACCCTGATAAGGTGTGACGCAAGATGGCTGTACCTAAACCAGAAAGTACTTGTATCACTTTCTAACAACTTAGGGCAATGCAATGATAGAAATCTAATCAACCAGTTCAGGTGCTCTAAATAACCAAGGGAAACTTGCTGTTTAAATTACATAATCTGGAAAACCAACATTTGCTTTTGTTTCATTTTTGCACAAGGGAAATTTTTTAATGAAGGGATTTAAAAGAAAGAAGACAAGCTTTAAAAATATCTAGGTATAAATTCAAATGGTCAAAAAAAAAATATTATAAAGCCTACTCTAAAAAAATTCAGCTCCTACGGCAACCACCATATTACCAAACCCAAGCGGGTGAAGCACTTAACTGCCTCTATTGTCTTCTGCATCTCCTCCCCTCTGGGGATCTCCCTTATAACTCTTGCAGACCCCAACCTTTCTCTTAATGTCTCCGTTCCCTTCTACCTCCTACTGTTCCTTCCCGCCCTGGGCACCCGAAGGAGGGGTGACACAGGGATGTCACTCCTCCGTCAGTGTCCATGCCAACAGCTAGCCGCACACTGCCAAGGGGATGCTTCCAGGTCCTCCTCCTCCTCCTCCCACAGCTGCAGGACAACACGGAAAGCAGAGTGGAAAGCCTGCACAAACTGCTCTCTGTTCTCAGGCTCTGAACAAAAAGAGGATGAAGGTAAGTGCCAAGTAAAGCAAGCTGCAGTCAGCATCTCCTCCGAGTTAAGTGGCATTAAGGAGTACTTTGAATGGAGACCTTGGATTTTCTTGAGTCAGGGCTCCTAAATCATGTAGTCATTTTCCTTAAGATTTTGGCACAGTCTTTGGTTGCCCAAGAGGAACAAAAATCTGAAGAACTATTGTATCAAGATAAGCCAGGGAACCAGGATATCCTGGGAGACAAACTCATCGTTTTCCTGTTAAAATTGAAAATCTTCACTAGGACCCCTCAAACGGGATGAGAGTTAAGTCAAGTTTGAGTCCTCCCTGCCAGGCTGAGCCGCTGACTCATTTCACCTCGCGGACAAGAGCCGGTAAGCAAGCCTGAGGGAACTCTTCTCTTTCTCCCCCAGTCCTCATTGAGTGCTGAGGCGGCTCCATGCTGGGAGGGAAGGGAGTCACAGGCAACAATATCTGTTTATTCCTTTTGTACCTTGCCTTTATCTCCCGGCGCTCAGAACTATTATCAAGCTTATCGATATACCAAGTGATGTTCCAATTAATACCTTGGAACATCTGAATAAAACCGAAGCCTCTCGCCTTATACACACACCCATGCATTTAACTTCAGTTTCACAGCCACATACAAGGAAATTAATCAAGCCATGAGAAATTAATCAAGTCCCCAGAAAAAGGGAGAGAGAAAAAGCAAACAATTAAAAACAGATAGAAAACCATTAGGATCGTTTGTAAATTGAAGTGCAAGGACTTGGCCTAAGTGACTCCAGTTCCAAAATAAATTCCTTATGCACCAATTACCAAAACTCAGATTCTGTTTTTGAGGAATCACAAATTATTGTCAGTTAATCAAAATGTTGCTAATTTGCTTGTTCAGCCCAAAGACTAAATGTTTTAGGAACAAAAAGAATTCTGTCCTGACAAGTTATCTCAGTAACAAGAACAGCAATGGAATCAGCACAGCACACTTCTAGAAAGGAAAAGTAAATAGCCCAGATATCTGCAACTAAAACTTCGCATTTCTTTAACTGCGCTTCTTAGCAACCCGAGCATTGCAGTAACGCTTCTTTAGCCTTTTCTTGTTTCTCAATAGCTTCTGAGAGTTGTCCAACAGCACTCTGTAGCACAAATGATACCTTGGAAGATCATTTGCTGCAAGTGGTTTCTCTACTTTCTTCCTCCGATTTCCTATGTGGAAACGCACCGGCGGGAAGCGACCATTATGTAAGGCTGCCTCACGCTGCATGGAAATGTACAGAGGTTCCATAAATCTTCTTACTGCCAGTAAATTCCCCTCAACCTTCTAAAGAGAGATCATTGCTCCCGAGAGGGATAATCAATTTCCCCCGATCCTTAAACCTGGACCCTTTGCATGATAATCAAAATGCTTGACCGACCTCAAGTTTAGGCAGACTTTCCAAGAGAAAATTTCCAGCCTAGATTTCTCTATTGCTTTCTAGCTGTAAGGAGTCCAGCAGCTTTACCTTTCTCATTTCCCTGTATACTAGGGAAAGGCGTATGTACTTACGGTGATCTTGCCTCATGAAAACCTTGGGAAGGGTAGAAACAGTTCAGGATAACTGAGAAGCAACTTGTTTAGAAGCTGTGATCTGAATTGAATCAAAGGTGCGTCTGTTTCACTGAATATGAAATAAAAATTCTGAACGGACCCTAACAAGAATGACTGCACAACAAAAGACACGGCCGGCCCTGCTGAGGCCAGCCATTACCAGAGCTGTTCTGGAGCCCACAGCAGGATGGAGGGGAGGAAGGAGTAAGCGCAAGCGGGTAGAATACTTTAATAATAAGAACCATTCTACTTTGAGCTTGACGTTACTATGTCCCTAGAAATAAAATGTATTTGGAAGATGACTTCAGTATTTTACAGGTAAAATGATTAACGAATCCTACGTCCTGTCGGGTGATACTAAAGGAACAGATTTTATTCATAGTAGCCACAGAAAGTGATCCTAAATTAGGCTTCGGCACCATGCTTTAATACTTCTCATGTGTGAATGTCTGCAGGCTGGGTAGGATCATGAGCCATCATGTTCTCAGACACGCTTTTTTTTTTTCCCCTCCAATAATCACAAATCCCTTTTTCTAAAGGACTTAAGCAATGCTTTCAGACTTGCCCAAATTGTACTTATTTTGCTACCATAAAGATCCAGGTGTTCTTGGCAGCAGAAAATTTGTTCTGTAAGTAGTGGAACTAATTTAGCCAAATCTCTACTGCAGAAAGCCGCCTTTCCTCACTACATAGGTACAGCTATACAGGTCTCCTCAGGCACCTGTGCACAGAGCTACAGGTCTGTCCCAGTTCTCCCTCTCACTGCCCATACTTCCAGTTTACCTAGGATGTTCCCTGAATTTTTCCATGATTCCTGCAGCTGTTTCTTGAGGAAGAAAAGGAAGTTTAACTAGAGTTGCTGCCAAGCTAAACTCATGCACAGGACTGCCTACAAAACATAAGTGATAACTGCTGACTTTTTAGTCCTGGCTATCATTTTTTGAGAGGTACTAATGGTTTCTCATCTCTTAACTGCCAATGTTCATAAAATTGCAGGAATTTAACTTCGGGCCTCCTACTCGTCTGTCCCACTGGCCAGACAGCTATTTTAATTGCACTGTCCGGTTTCCTAAGGGAAAACATCTAGCTATGGAAACGTATTAAAGGCCTCCAACTGCTTTCTTGCCACGTCAGGGTATTACCGCAGCAGAATGAAGAACTCGCTTGGGTGTCACGCTGTAAGCTCACGCCGTAATCCCCTGTATGAGCTAATGAACGCAAATTGCCGCGTCTTGAAAAAGGGCTTGCCCAGACCGACTTTCCCAGGGCGCAGCACCCCCTCCGCAGAACCGGTGCAGACGGCGGCGATGCCAAGCCTGACGCGCCTCCGGCGGGGAGCGCTGCCGGAGGGCGCCT